TGTCTGACGCCCCCCCCCGTCTCAGCCCCCTCCCCTCACTCGCCACAGCCCCCGCCCTGCCCCTCACCTCAGCCCCACCCTCCCACCCCCTGCCTCGGACCCACCTGCCTGAGCCCCCCATCTCAGCCCCCTCCCCTCAGTGGCCACAGACCCTGCACTCCAAGGGCACCCCTGTCCCTCACCTCAGCCCCACACTCTAGAGCCACCCTCCTACCCCCTGCCTTGGACCCACATGCCTGAGCCCCCTCACCTCAAAGGCCAAGGCCAGCCCGCTGCATGCCAGCCCACAGCCCCTCTCCTCCCATGCCAGAGCTGTCTGCCACAGCCACGCATTTTAGCCTCTCACCCCACATGTCCCATGCTGTGGCCGCACCCCTCACATGCCACTGAGCAACTCACCAAGGCTGCATCCCTTTACCACTCACCTCCCCCCCCCAAGCCGTCTGCCGCCACCATGCGGTCCCAGCTTCCATGAGTGTCGCATCCCATTGCCACCCCCATTCCGGTCTCCTGCCATGACCACACATAGTGTGTGCTCTTTCCTGCCCCTGCAAAAAAGTCACATGCTACAGCCACACACCCCATGGTACATCTATGTCATAGACCATCAGGGTTGGAAGGGACCTCAGGAGGTCATATAGTCCAATCCCCTGCTGAAAGCAGGACTAACCCCCCACAGATTTTTGCCCCAGATTCCTAAATAGCCCTCTCCAGGATTGAACTCACAACCCTGGGTTTAGGCGGCTAATGCTCAAACCACTGAGCTCTCACAGCCCCTGCCCCAGAGGGCAGACCCCAGCACCAAACCATCTCTCCCTATTTAAGTGGCACTGTCCCTGATTTTTCAGCAGAACTTTCATTATTTCTCTCCTTAGAAAGCTCTCCTAGTCCAGTGCATTTCCTTGGCATTACATAGCATGGTCCTATTTCCTCCTCAAATGTCCCACTGGAAGTTAGGTGTTATAAATGCTGGAGGCAAAGCAGGCTTTTGGGGGTGGAGGCTGATCGTTCACAACCCCCCACGTAATAACCTCGTGACCCCCTGAGGGGTCATGACCCCTAGTTTGAGAACCCCTGTTATAAAGGGAGTCTTCTCCTCCCCTGCATTCTGGCTGTTTTGTATGGAGCTAGGCAGCCTCTGAGCAAGTCTACTGGAGTGGGTCCCACATGATTTAGGCCAAGAGTGCTTATCTTTTCCTCAGTCCCTGGATCGGTCTAGAGCTTAGGGTGAAATAGGTGCCTAAGCACCAGAGTGAGGTTGCAGCTCACATCCTCAGAGGCAGGAACACAGAGGCCTAGGGAATTTTTACTGCAAAAAACTTGGGTGCGGAGATGCCTATGGAGTAGTCAGCAGCCGAACGGGAGTTTTGTGGGTTGCAGTGGCACCCAGGACCGGCTCCAGGCACCAGACAAGAAAGCACGTGCCTGGGGCGGCACATTGTAAGGGGCAGCATTCCGGCCAATCTTGGGGTGACACAGTCCGGCCACCCTGCCATGGTTCTTTTTTTTTTTGCTTTGGCAGCCTGGTCCGCAGCTCCGGATACCCCGACCGGCTCCCCACGCTCCGCCAGTCCCAGCCCAGCCCTGCAGGGGCACGGACCCCGACCCAGAGGGGCAGAAACTAGCGATCCCCACCACTCACCGTGCCGCAGGGCTCCCGGGACGCGCCACTCCCTGCCACCTGCAGCGGCCTCCGCCTCCCACGCCACTCTGAGCCCGGCCAGGCCGAGCCGCCTTTAAAGGAGTGGCTGAGCCAGCACCTCCTGCAGCCCCCGGGGTCCTGCCTGCCCGGCCAGGAGAGGCACCCCAAGGCCAGAGGTGGGAGCCCCTCTCTCCCGGCTGTGAGCGGGCTGCAACCCGGAGGGAGCGGGCGGGTGCCTCCCTTCACCCCCCTGTGAGCCGCCTTGACCGCCCTCCACACGCTCCCTGCGGCTACTGTTTTTTTTTGTTTTGTTCTGTTTTTTGCTTGGGGCGGCAAAAAAGCTACAGTCAACCCTGGTGGCACCTAAAAATGGGACTTAGGCACTTAAGTGTCCTTGTGAGAACCCACTCTTAAAGGGGTTTAGGCTCCTAACTTCCATTGATTTCAATAGAAATTAGGAGCCTAAGTACCTTTGAGAATCTGGGCCTGTGTGTTTTGGAGAGCAAAGAGCAGAGCTGTGGAACAGACACTTTCTGTGGCATCATATTCCTGGAAACCTTCAGGGACTTCCCAGCTAAACAATCACTTGCTCTGCCCAGGGGCGGCTCTAGCTTTTTTGCCGCCCCAAGGTCCGCCAGTCCTGCGGCTTCGGGGGACCCGTCGCCGAATTGCTGCTGAGTCGGCAGGACCGGCGGACCTCCCGCAGGCATGCCACCGAAGGCTGCCTGACTGCCGCCCTCTCAGGGACCGGCAGGGTGCCCCCCACGGCTTGCCGCCCCAGGCATGCACTTGGAGCGCTGGTGCCTGGAGCTGCCGCTGGCTCTGCCTTATCGAACCCACAAGTGGGGGAGGTTGGAGTAGATAGCTAGACAGCAGAACAACTGCCATGGTGGGCAGAGAGAGAGAACTAGGGGGCTTGGCAGAAGCTCAGACCCTCTAGGGCCACAGGGATTTCTTTGGAGTGCTCAGCATTAAACCATAGGTTAGGCAAACAAAGTCTGTGCCAGCTCCATGGGGAGCCAACAGCCACCTGCCTTGTCTAATGTGGCAGAAACTCCTTGGTTTTAAAGTAATGGATTTTTCTACCTGGCTTTAGCCCTCCCCTGGGTTTCACTATGGGAGGGCATTATCAGTACCTAAGAGAGAATCGATGTGAACCAAATGCTGTAGCAGAACATCAAGAACCCCAGACTAGATGCAGCCAGAGAAGAGTTTTGCTAGGAGCTAAACAGTGAGCAAGCCTGACATTTCCATATTGATTAAGGATAGCTGATTTAATCATTTAAAAACAAATCTTTCCTCATGTTCCAAGAATAAAGGTCAGCAGGGTGGGTTGGGGGAGCTTGTATTCTTACTGTAACTCTTTGCCTTGCACATTAACTGTGAACAAAAAGGGACCTCTTTTGGAGCCACTCACCTACAGCCAAATGGAAAGGCTCCTGCTATGTACAGAGCATCCTGGATTACATGGAATTTCATAAAATATGGGACAAGAAACTGTGCTGTCTGGAAAGAACATCAACATGCAGCCATCAAGCTCTTACTCCCTAAATCCCTGGTCAGAAGAAGGTAGAAACAGTTCATTTCACAGCCAAAATAAACACATTTTCCCCAGACAAGCAGATTTATCCCTGTGATAGAGTTAGTAACGAAAAGATACTCAAGCTTTCCTTCTGGAAAGGATCATTATGCAATAAAAGAGCTTTAATGTGGAGATAAGATCTAGATATTAAAGCATGTTCTCCTTTGATCGATTTGTTTCAAAATCATCACCCAATCAATGTAATGTACATGTACATGGAAGAAGCCTGAGCAAATTAAAATACCAGGCAGGTAGCTGAGGGTATAATTGGCTCTCTGGTTGCTTTAGCATTTTTCTCCTAGAATATTATGAATTAGATTGTACAGAACAAGCAGTAGCAATATCAGTGTCAAAGTCTTCTCATCCTTAACACATGAGGATTGATGTTAATCAGAATATAATGGTACTAGCTGCAGTAAAAATGGGTTTTTAATTATTCCTCTTTTTTTCGAGGAGACCCAAGATTCCTAATGATCAGATCCTTTGGCCAAGGGACGGACTGCTTAGTACAAATCAATGTGCAATATTTTCTGAAGCTTGGAGTGCTTTGTTACAAGCCACTTGGATCATCAGTGTTTGGATAGCACCTAGAAATTGATTGCTATCTAGTGGTTAGAGCAGGGGAATGCTAATTAAGACTCCTAGATTCTACACTTCACTCTGCTACTCATTCACTGTCGTAACTTTTCGGTGTCTCAGTCTACTCATCTAAAGGCATCTCACAAGGTGCTTTAAGGTTTTAATTCATTAATGACTGTAAAGCACTTTGAGAGTCTCAGATAAAAGGCACTATAGTGGTACACAGCACTATTATAGCTGAGAAAAATATTTCCCTTTTTCTGAACTCATGTTTAAACTGGTTTTTAATTCAGATGATGAGCTTTAGTTTCTGCCGAATAGAAGAGCTAATTTCTTAAAATTACTTCAAATTTTAAAAATTCCACTGGACATTTATGTATCAGTCTAGACCTACCCACCTGGCTATGAAAAATTTAGAATTGGGCAACTTGGTGCAATCTCACTGAAGCAGGTACATTCATATGTTCCTGAGTATTCAAACAAATACAGCAACTCTTCTATCCTCCTCTCCTGTCAAATGGCATGTGATGTCTGCAGTCATGGTTTTCAAAGTCCTGACCAGATCCAATGCACTCTTAAAGGGAGGGACAGTATCACCTCTTTAAATAAACACTGAAAGCCTTCCTAAAGTAAGATGAATGATGTAATATTTCTTATATTTAAATAAGTAAAAACATACAAACACAATCTAACCATATTGATGCTTA